CCCCAAAACCCCAAAACCCCAAAACCCCAAAACCCCAAAACCCCTTTTATGTCAATTGTTATTGAAATAATTATATTATTTTAAAAAGCTTTCCAATCATGTCTGAAAACGGTAAAATTAGAGCAAGCAGCACAGGAATTAGTGATACTAAGCAGGAAAAGTGATTTAAAGAGTTTTAGGAGTAGATAATAAATATTTGACAAAAAGAGAGATCTAACTCAACAAGAGAAGAAATGAGAGAATAAGAAGCAATTTTAGTGCAAAAAGAAGTAGTATCATTAAAAGTATCTCCGCAAGAAAGGATCTTACCAAATTAAAGGAATTGGTACCTTGAGAATCTTGGAATTGATGCACAAAACATTTGAAGAAAATATTAAAGGAAGTTCAGATAAAATAGCCAAAATGAGAAGAGAATACACAATTGAATGCCAGAACTAGAAGTTCAATGCTATTCACCTGGGAGATAAAACAGCTGGAACAATATTGAGCCTAGTGTCTCATATCCAAAACACTTGTGTTAGCACAAAAATAAAAACATTGGAAGGAATTTCCAAACTGGAGTTGCGATGTTAGGAGCCCTATTTGAAATACTTAAAGACTTGAATACAATAAGAGAGGATAATGAGAATGAAAAGAAGATAGAGAAATTGAATTTAGATATCAATAATATGAAGGTCGGATTCAAACCAGAGAAAGTTTCAAATTCCCCATAGTCTTTGAAATTTCACCCTCTTCAGAAAGATCTCTGAAGGAAATAGGTATTGGTATGAATGAGGAGTCAAAACAAAACATGAAGAGAACAGAAATATTTAGCTAGGTAGAGGAAAAAGTCTTTGGAAAACAAATGAAGAATAATCAGGTTCACAAGGTTGGAAAGAATATAGTAAGCAGAAAATACTAAAAATACAGCATGGTGGATGGTAAATATCAGAGAATAATGGAGTGTAAATGTACAAACTTTAAGAGTTCAGATAGAATAACCCAACGAAGAAATAGATATGACAGTAGGCCTTATAGAAAAATGCATTGAAAAGATTTAACCATCATAGAAGACGCTATCCAGTTTAGAATGATCGGAATGATTTTTATGGTTATCAAGAGTATTATCTTTCCCAGAATCATAGATAAAACACAAGGAGAGTATGGCTATAATGAGCCTTATTACTTTTAAGCATAAAGGAAATATTTATAAAAATGACGTCTGAGAAGAAGGTCTACTGTCGTAAAACTCAACTCTCCCAAAAATGGTCAATTTTGGAAGGGTAAATGCTGACTTAAAGATAGGGACATTAAATTTCAATGGGCTAACTAGTAGAGAAACTACATCAATTATCCCAGTACTTTATTGCTGAAGATTTGGATATCCTAATGATTAAAGAAACACATAGAGTGGAAGAACAACTTAAATTACAGATAGCAATGATAAGATGGAAGAAGGGATGGAGTTGCTGTTTTCTACAATAAAAAGAGGTTTATTATAATTAACAATGTATTCCTCACTTTTATGAAAAATTTGCTTACTGAGATTGATATAGGAATTTCAGTCCAACATTTTTTGAAGTTTGAGAGAAATTTGAATATTTCGAGTCCATTCAGAGTAAGAATTGAGATACTATCTCTGAGAAATCAACAGAGTGTTTCGACAAATGTATAAAGTAAATTATCTTCATCTTTAATCAATTTGTTAAAAAATAAAGGGGTTTTGGGGTTTTGGGGTTTTGGGGTTTTGGGG